GCGGAGACGGTATATGGTATGTTAATCTATATCAAATATATTTTATGAAACTTTGGTGTTGAGTAATTTATTTTACTATAAGTATTTATTACCTATATTATAAATATTTAATTAGAAAGTCTAAAGTTTCTTAAAAAACAGACGTCGTATTTCGTATAGCATATAAAATTATAACATAAATGTCGTGCAACTAAGAATATTTTTAATATTTATGTATATTATATTGTTCACTTTATCGGTAAGATAACTCAGTAACTAACTCGGTTATAGGTTAATTAAGATACTATTATACTCTGGCAGTACAAAGATTTATTATTGTATAGAATGCTCACAAAAACTCTATTAAAATATATTACTTTTAAGATTATCCAATATTGACTGGGTAAAGTTAACATTATCCGGATAATGTTGATACTTCATATTTATAAACGAAAAATTACACATTGGCCAAAACGGATGGCTAATGTCGACTTTATCCAAATGTCAACATTACCGTAACATATATTATATTAGATAATTATGTATTGTATGTGTACTCTAATGTCTGAACTCTTAATATGAATGTATAAAAAAAAGTCGCTCTTCTGTACAGTAGGTTACAAGTTGATCACTGTAATGTGTAATGGATAGTGTTAAATTTGAATTCAATGATATAATATTATCATTGTATAAGACAAACGATTTTGAGCGAAAACCGTCAGTCAGCCTATGATATTACGAAGTATATTTGATGTTATTAAAGTGAATAAAGTAATTTATATATAACCTATTTACATGGAATCTTGTATATCTTGAACATTTCATAAATTTTTAACTACAAAATTATTATTAAATTTTAAATGTGATAAATTATGTCAAAATACTTTAAATGCTTATAAAAAAAAAATGTGCCTATGTATTTTTAATATTTTTCACCCGCTATTGTAACAATATATCAGGAGCCTTGCATTAAATTTTCAAGATTTTTTACTCAACAGATAAAATATTATTGATATTTATAGAAAAAAAAACTAAAAAAATGGAAACTTGAAATGTCCGTAAAGAGCTCAATATAGGCCAAAATATTTGGGAAATGTTATGGTGTATAGAAAATGCTAATATAAACATTCAGTCAAAATTTCATGTATATACATTCATTTGTTTAAGAGTTGCACCAAAAACCAAAAACGATTTGTCGAAAACAGATGTTGAGTACAAATTCCCGTTTTTCCTTAATTTTACTTTTGTTTTTAACGGCGCTTTTAAAAGCAACTGGGAAATTTTTACTTTTGACCCCCCAAAGTATCAACTAGATTAGGGTGACCATATTTAAAAAAATAAAATACAGGAAAAAAATATTATCAAATTTTTATATTTTAATAATTTAATATATAATATTTTTAAATTAATAAGTATTTATTTTATTTTTAGGTGTCCAATAAGATAACGCTTGTGAACGACATACATATATTATTAATATTTATTTATTTCGCAAATATGCTCACATTTGATTACGAACGGGTCGCACCGGTCGGTAAATATACTATTATACGTCCGGTTTACGTCGCCGACAACAATGTGATGCAACAATAATAATGGTAAAAACAAAAATACAAAAATACAATTGAAAAGTATAGAATTTTATATTATTCTATTCAATAATGTCATTTTAAAAAATTCAACAATTATATACATTAACAAAACCTAAGGCAAAAAACGGGATTAATATGGGACAGACTTAAAATTACGGGATAAAAAGCATCCGAAGAGAAGTTTGTCAGGACAACAGGACACAAAGCCGAAATAAAGGACAATCCTGTGTAAAACAGGACGTATGGTCACCTTAAACTAGATTCACTTTTCTTTCATAAAAGATATTGTTGAAGAATATCTAAGCATTTTTACTGTCCTAAAATTTGATGACAGACACAAAAATTTTTTTTAAAAAAAACACACATCACTGTAAAATCAATACATTCATTGTTTCACTCAGAATCTAAAATTATAACATTAACTTTACTATTTTATTTTTGTACATTAACTGTCTGGTGCGCAATCGTATTGTATTTGCGGTAGGTAAAAAAAGACAACCTGTATAATTGGTGTCTTCCCACGTCTCCGAAACCCAATATATCGGGAATTGACTAAATTTACCAAACTATACTCCCATGGATTGTATGTGTGGAAAAACATTGAACTTATCGACAACGTACTATAATATTATCGCTGTCATATCCATCTTCGATAAAATTATTGTCACCGGTGAATCGGTAAAATTGAAACTATATTATAGAACCGGTATAATTTGTCGGCGAACCGAGACGTCGGCAAAATAGGAATGTTTTGAAAAATATTTTTAAGGGGCCTGCACGCGACCTGTTTTTTTGCTCAAAAACATGCCTTACAGGAAAAACTCTCACGCCTCGTAGATTGGTCCGATTTCCGTAATTTTTTTTTGTTAGATAAGGAAGACTTCTTACAGGGCGCATTGACTTGGATTTTCAACATTATTTTTCTAAATCTTATGTTACAAGTTTGAATTTAATCAATTTTTACAACTTTTTAGTTTTTGTATTATTTTTTGTTTTTAGCGACATAATCAAAAATCGAAGTCCAATGCGCCCTGTAAAAAATATTCCTCTATCTAACAAAAAAAAAATTACGGAAATCGGACCAATCTACGAGGTGTGAGAGTTTTTCCTGTAAACTGTGTTTTGCCCGATATAATACACCCTATCAACCCCCCCTAAATAGGTATTGGGTAGTAGATTAGTGGAAAAGTCTTATAATTGAGGTGGCAACTAAAATATAAAATTTAATTTCAACTTTTTAGAATTGCGGAAAATTTGAAAAATCGCGAGCAGGCCCCTTAAACTGGAATGTTTGGCGGCGAATTGAGTTGTCGCTGAATTGAGATTCGACAAAGTGGGTATGAACCGTATATTTTTTTTGCACAATCGTGTTGCGTTTTTGCCAGGTAAAATATGTTTAATCGCGTCGCACCTACTAGACGATATCAACAAACAATACTATAACCTTTATTACATTTGTAATATTTATACATAAATAAGAATTACATACCATTTACCTACATTAACACTATAAATAAATGTTTTGTAGTAGGTAATACCAAACTTACATAGGCAAGCGCAGACTTTGATCGCAGCCTCGCAGGCCGATGAAATGTGTTTGCCAAAAATATAAATGCTCATACCATTGCCTTAAACATTTTTATAATTATATATTATTATTATTATATTAATTTTTGTATTATCATTACAGCTGCTTTCAGGTTTTTCAAATTTAACATATTTTTACAGGGTTGGCACGAAAAAGCCGAGCCCGAAAACCCGGGCTGCTTTTCTGGATAAAATAGAAATACACTCTCATTTTTTTTAACTTGTGTTAGTTTTCAGAGAAAAATTTACCTTACTTATAGGAATTATTTATTTTTCCAATTAAAGTATTAAATTGAGTCGATGTTAATTTCTTTTTGATGTTAATGATGAATGTGCATGATTCATTTGATGAACAATTTCGATGTTTGAAATTAATATATAATTTTATTTATAAATTATTTTTTATTTTTTATTTTTTATTTATTTATGGCGTATATCATTACATAATTATTATTGAGGATGGAAACCCCTGCACTTGACTATTCACCATAGCTCGACGACAACTTTCGTCTTTCGGTAAGTATAAAATAATTTAAAATCTAATATTTTATACTTGGACTTAAACTAAATACAGTACCAATTTTCAATAATTATAATATATTACAAAATACAATAATACTAAATTAAATATTATATAATTGCATATAATATGATACATACGTATAACGTATTACATTTGGTTATAAATACTAGTAAAAATAGTAGTATTTATAATCAATGGTATTACGTATTGGTGTAATATTACTAATATTTTGTGGATTTCTGTGAATATTCAATATAATAAGTATTATTTAAAACTATTTTTTATTAACTAATATAATATTTAATATTTTGGATTATTATTACATATTTTTTTTTAAATTCATTTTTACAAAATGGAATATTTTTTTATGTGTGGTTTAGGAATAAAATTAACTTAACGTGACAGTAAAATAAATTAATTCATAAGACATAAGATACTAAAAAACACGGAAAAAATGTAACTCGTTATTTAAGTTAATTAAAAGTAACTTAACTTTTATTAACAATATTGATTCCATTTTTAGTAATTAAAAAGAATTAATTTACCTAACTCATAAATTATTTGTAATTATTTATGTGTTGTGAGTTTTGATGGTATTGTTAAATATAGGTAATGTTTTCTATAATATTTAATACTGAAAAATGTTTTATAAGCTCATAATATGTTTATTTTGATAGTCATTGTGACATTTTTTTTAATGTCGCCCGGTGATAATTCCTTAAAATATCCACTGTCGTACCCCTATGCTACCCTAGTCAATTTAGTATATTTTATTGGAATTTCTTTTTAACCTTAAGATTTATCTCTGAATTAAAATGTGCCTATAATAACAAGTAACAACTAACCGTCCAATATTCATGTTTTTGAACTTTGGGTGATTGGAAAGAGACGAAAATATCAAACACATACACACGCGTAGTCTCTATATGTATTATATAGATAATATATATATTATATTTTAATGTCAAGATTTATGTTAAACTAAGAACGTAAATGTAAGCCCTAATACACTAGGTACCTATATAATATATTGAAACGTGATTATTTAAATCTATATAATTATTTCTGTTATCCATACATTTCCATGTTGGCCAAATACATAATTAGTATAATATCACACGTAGGTATAGAGTTTGTTATTTTGCTAATCCCAACAACAAACCAAACTCTTCACTTCAAACTTTCAACACTACAATACAATTAACACAATTACTCAATTACTCAAAATACTATTACACGGTAGGTATATATTACTCAAATTGAAAGATCAATTACCATATTCTTATCACACGCAACACAAGGAAATCTCGATTGACGAAATGAAATGCCGACCGGTATCGGACGAACGATTCGTCATGACGAACAAAATGTATCCTGCACCAAAACGTATCATGCTCCATTCTGGTCTAATCGCTGAGGTGTTGGGTATAGACCCATACCCATCCGACTGCGAAAATCACAACGACTTGATCACGCTGTATAGTCATTACTCTAGGTGCAGCGCTGGAAGCGATAACTACTGCAATAACGACGGCCAGAGCTGTGGACGCCGAAACAGTCAGCCGGTAAACATCGGACGTCCGTCTAGGCCTGTGTTCCGGGACCAGAACGCCGCCCAATCCGCCCAGCCTGTGCGCTCTGGGTGTCCGTACCGGCCTGACCAACCCAGGATACAGGATAGACCGGTGGACCTGTTTGGACCGTCACCGGCGAGGATTTCTCGGAGCCGGCGCAGCACTTACGACGTGCAGCCGCCACGGTGTGGTGACCAAAACGCCCGGCGGGGCACTTACGACGTGGAGCCAGAACCGCAGGGCAGCCGACGCGGCACTTATGACGTGCCACAGCCGTACGCCGCGCTCCAGCAAAATGACCGGAGGGGCACTTACGATGTGCCACAGCCGTACGCCGCGCTCCAGCAAAATGACCGGCGGGGCACTTACAACGTGTCGCAGCCGTGCCCCGCGCTCCAGCAAAATGACAGGCGCGGCACTTACGACGTGTCGCAGCCGTGCCCCGCGCTCCAGCAAAATAACCGGCGCGGCACTTACGACGTGTCACAACCGTGCCCTGCCCTCCAAAGGAACACTTGTAGTGACGTGCAACCGCAGCCAGAGCGAACATCCAACTGTGGAGGTTCGGGGGGCAATACTTTCACGGTGACCGGCACCTTCCAGTTGCTGGACGGGTTCCAGGGACTGTCGACTGGGCGGCAGCCACCGCGTGGCCAGTCGTCGTCAGCCAACAGGCTGCACGACACCGACGGCGACATCAACGACTACCTCGACAATCATCAAGACGTTGACATGGTGGCGCCACGGTGTGTGGCGGTGCCTGGACAGCCGTACGTGGACATCGACGAGTCAGACGCGAACACGACGCCCGACAATTGGCGCCTGACGTTGGGCAACCGCCACTCGTTGGGCTCGCAAGGACTGGGCATCCTGAGTCCTGTGGCCTACGACCACTACAACAGTGGTTCTCGGGATACGTCGGGAAGGGGCCAGTGGCCGTCAATCGACCGCCAGTCCTATGCCGTTTGGTCTCAACGATTCGTTCGGCATGAGCGGTGCGTCAACGCCACGCGACCGCCAGTCGAGGGCCAGGTCCGCCGCCCCTGACTGTAGCAACAACCGCAGACGTGACACTTTCGACCGGAACACCCGATAGATGGCGTGTGCCCACAATGCACATATTATATACTATAAATTACTTCCAAACGCAATTTTTCCAAAGGCCAATATCACCATTATCATGTCCGTTAAAAATCAATACAATATTATTTAAATACTGTGTTATTTATGTGGCATTTATGCCATTACATTGGAATTTTCTTATGGGTTATTATTAAAAAAAAAACCCCAGATTCTAATCTATTGATGAGCCACGGGGTCACAGCTATATATATGGTAATTCGAGACAATTACTGGACATGGACTGTACCTACATACGGCGATAACTAGCCATCAGAGTGTGACGGTGGACTCGTAGGCATGTAATTGTTTTGTCTTCGGTATTCCGATAATAAATAATGAAACAGAACTTTATCTTCTGTGTAAGTTTTTCGAATAGAACGATCCGGGAACATCTTTAGTCCATGTGTTATGATGGATAACTTGTATTAAGACGCCTGGTGAGGATTTTCCAACGTTTATAATATTTTATAAAGTATAAAAATTATATTTTATATTTTATATATGAAGGCACTTAAAATAGTATCACCAACGTTTTAATACTTTTCCAGTAATCTACGGCCAAATACCTATTTATAGGTAGTATTGGTAAGGTGTATTATATCAAAAATGACTTCACAGGAAAAACTCTAGTTAGAATTGTCGGATTTTCATAACTGGTTTATTTTCTGAAAAAAGAAGACTTTCTACAGCCAGAATTGAATTCCAGTTTATATGTTATTCAAAATAATTTGTAAAAAAAGCATAAAATTGTTTTTTACACATTATTTTTAAACTTGAGATTCGGGATTAAAATATTGAAAAACTGAGCTCAGCGCAGTGGCGTTCTCTGGAATATTCAATGGGAGGTTGGGAGTTGTGGATAATTTTTAGTAACATATGGTTGGTGGAAAGACCAACTGAGGTAACCCTCAAAAACCAAATTTTACACTGCACACTAAAATAGTAATAACTATTTGTTCCAAATTAATCATTTTGTGTTAATGTTTCTTATTTTAAGACTCTATAGTCTATATCTTGTAATTCTATGTGTGAATTTAGTTAAAAGAATGCAAATTTTATTATAATTTAATTAATTACCAAAGTAGAATTATTAGTGGGTTATTTTAAGTGGCCGGCTAATATAAAAATCCTTGTGGGTTACATCATATACATTAAAGGATAACTGTGACTTACACTACTTTGCAGAACTAATAAATAGTGTCCAAATATAACATAAATAATATAATATATGTTGATAACCATCAATTACGTAAATAGTAAATTCATTTAAAATAACGAAAATATTGCATTTTTTAACGATTTATTATAACGACAGTTAACAGTATTATAACAACTATAATAGCTACTTCCTGAGAGTATAATTCAGTATAAACACTATAAATTATAGGTAAGTGAAATAGGTAACTATATTTTTAAACAATATAAAACATTTTAAGTAAAAACTGGTATAAGATAAAAATGACTTCTTGAATAGTAATTATAGTAAAAAAAATATTATCTTATAACTTTAGATTAAACCTTTTTTTTAATGATATTATTGTGATTATCAAAATGATAAAGTTCACCACACATTGCAGCGATGGCAGTAAAATTTTTTTGTCTTGGTGGTGCCGCCCTGGTGGCGGTAAAATTGTGTCCACCTTCACACAATTTGTAATAAACCCGTGTGGTATAACGTTAATAACAATAATAATTCTATAATCAATTGTATTAATTGTATTAAAAATATGGTTGTATATTTCAACCATGATTAAAGCACAATAAAAAGGGGTGTGTAGAAAAACGGCAATGGTATGGGGGGGTGGTTAAGCCCCCACGACCCCCCCTACCACTACTCATATACTTGAGTACGACTATGATTCTACAGTATATTATTAACGAGTGCTTTAAAGGGGCTGCTCTCAGCTGCAGCACTAACATTTTTTAAGGAGTTTTGTATAGGCAATATTGTCTACATTATTTCTCAAGAAATACTCTCGCCGCTAAGAATTCTTTTTAATTGCTTGTTTTGTAATTGTTCATACATTTAAAAACTCAATATAAGTGGTCAGAAACTCTGAGAAATACTAAAGAAAAGAATGCTAGTGCTAAGGTATTATATTATAACAATTATAAATAGGTACCTCAATAATGTGTCCTTAAACAAACGTTTCCTAATGTTGAAATTCCTATAAATGTTAATTTGTATTCTATGTTCTTTTACAAATGGAAAGAAAGATATTTTTCTCTATTAATAATAGTCAACAATTAATTAGTCATCATTAGACGACATTCACAAATAATTATCAGCTCAATTTAAAAAGAAGTTGCTAGGAGTATAAAATTGACAATAGTCTTAGCTACAAATTTTCAAACGTTTTAGCTTATAAATCATTATTTTAGTTAATTTACAGATTTTGGCTTGGAAGGACTTAGTTGCTACAAATTTCTGACAAGTGGGTATAAAGTAATTCTAAAGTTAGTAGGTACTTATTTAGTATTTACTCAAGGAATATATAATTTTTAGAAAATATTATATAAACAATTTGGATTTGGGCTATTTAGCATATACTTGTGTTATTTATTTATAAACTATCATAATATTTAAAATTTAAATTTGACTAAAAAAATTATAAATTATTAGTACATTAATTAATATAAAAACCTGTTATCTGATTAATTAAAATAATATTTAGTGTTTGTTCATAATTTAAAACTATGACATCAATAATGTAAGGGTTCGTATTACCCTGATAAAGAGCAATTCCTGAGCATAGCAAGCAGTGTTGGTGCAGATTAAAATATATATAAAATCTTAGCTTCCCAAGAAATTGTACCACATATTATTTTTGTAAGGGCAACCAAATATGATTGTCTCAGGGTGTCAATCATTGTTAGGACTATTCGTATTGCATGATAATCCCTAATTTTACTATACAATTTCAGACATGGTATCAATACAAACTAAATTGTACATTAACTTATTCTAATATAGACAACAAATACTTAAATAGGTTCTTTCAATAATACATATTAAAATATGTTTGTAAAAATACCATTATTAATTATTTATTTAGTGTATATTTTTTACAGTTTTTTTTTTGCAATAGGTTTAATAATATTAACCGTATATAAATAAGGAATCTGGTGGTTAATACATTTATCCATTCTGTATCCGATTTCTGTAGTACAAATAAAATTAGATACATTCATATCTCTATAAAATTGTATTGTATCTATTCTCAATTTCTATTTTCTTATGTATTTTGAATATACCTAATTTTACACGTTATTATATATATGATAGAATTATACTATTTAACAACATTTTGGTATAGTTCTATGAAAATAAATCAAATCAATAAAATGTTCATATACATATCTAAAATATGTTTCTGATTTATATCATCCTACTTTTCAAAATTTTTTATATTACACCACTGGTTGTGATCCTTACCAATATGTAAAAGTTTATTGATCCGATTATTTTTTACACTTGATAAATAATGACACCAAATATTATAAAGTTTACAAATGTAAATACTTTAATTTCAACTAATTTGTGTTGTCTACATTTAAAAATATATTCCAATTAATATTACAAAATAGTAATAGACTATGTACATCAATGATCCTTAAAAATTGCATAGCCATGGTATTTTATATCAAAATTCAAACTTAAAATTTAAAAAAAAAATGTATTTAACAATAATAAGTACAATATATTACATGTTTAATAGTTTCAATTGTGGTTGGAATCATAATATTAATATTGTAATACAACTTAATACATTTAGTTTAAATGTTTTAACAATTAAATAAAAATTAATAATAACAATATGAGTAATAGTGATTTCAATAATTTGATCATGACACTCATGTTCTGTTATAATTACCAAATTATGAAATAAAAATTTAATTGAAAAAATATACATATTAGGTATATTAAATTAAACATTTTATAATAAATAACATTTATAAGTAAAATTTGTATTTTCTTAAATTTAAAGAAAGTCATGTTTATTCTGTTGAACCAACTGATTTTCTTACATTATTTTACTGAACTCATTTATTACTTTATTAGAATGACTGTTAAACTGTTGCCTATTATTTATTAGTAATAGACAATAGTACTTGTAAGTATGTAAATGTAATATAATAATTATACATATTAACACAATAATAATATACCTACACGGCGACATGTAACACATTAGGTATATGATTGTAAAATACACTATACAGTATATTATTTTAATTTCTAAGTATCCTCAAGAACACTTACAATATAATTATGTCAATAAAAAATTATTGGTGATTAAATTTATGATGTAAGTTTACATTTTTCAGTAAAATTAATTAATTGATCATATCTCTAAGATTTTGTAAGCTAGCAGTCATTCTATTACAAAATGCATGTTAAAATTGAAAATAATAATATATTATTAACGTTTACGAACAACGGCAATAAATTAACAAAATACAATATAAATCAAGAACAAAACTACCATTAGCAAGGTACACTATACTGTATACATGTACATTAGTCTAAACGTGTACTAAGAGGAATAACATCACGTGCCATGATTCACGGCTCTTTCCAATTGACATCGGCCCATGCCGGCATAGGCGTTTCGTACGCCCAGTCTGGTCCGCTATACCTCAAGGCGTGAAGATACATGACAAGATCGGTCGGTTCTGGGTCCTTGTAACGAACTTTGCACTCCTGACAATGAGCGTCCACGGTGAGCTTTTTCTTGTCAAATTCGACGTCCGCCACGTAGATTCCCGTTGGTACGAACTCGTCGATCGCTACACTGCTCTTCACCTCGCCATTCGTGGCCTGCCGCACCGGCGATGCCAGATTACCGCTGCTGTTGTCCACGGCTGCCGGTAAAACCGGTAGTCCATCGTCAGCCGCAGGTAAAACAGGAAGTCCATCGTCAGCCGCAGGTAAAACAGGAAGTCCATCGTCAGCCGTAGGTAAAACCGGTAGTCCATCGTCAGCCGCAGGTAAGACAGGAAGTCCGTCGTTTGCCACCCACCAACTTTCGGCGTTGTGAGCTTTTATCAGGTCCTGGACCAGTTGCTCGTCGGTCTTACCAAAATTACCGTCTCGCCCCTTCTCCGGACCGAATACGGTGTCGTTGTACAACGGGTCGTTTTGGATCGGATATCCCAGGTACTGCAAATGGACGCGGATCTGGTGCATGCGGCCCGAACGGGGCTTGCACAGCACAACGCTGATGTTCGCCTGCTCGTTGTACCCGATCAGCTGGAACGAGGTGCTGCACTGTTTCCCTTTCGGCGACACCTTGCACACACCGATCTTGTAGCTGATCACTTCGATCGGCTGCTCGCACTCGACAGCCTCGGGAAACTTGCCTTCGACACGGCATACGTACTCTTTGTTCACCACCCGGGCCCGTATCTGCGACTCCAGTGTCCTCGCCCTGTTCTGTGTCCGGCCGAACATCAGAACGCCACTGGTCAACCGGTCGAGTCGGTGGATGGTCTTCAGGTCCATTAGACCGTACTCTTTCGCCAGCACGAATACCATGGTGTTGTGCCTGTAACGGCCGCACGGGTGCACGGGAATGCTAGGAGGCTTGTTGACGACCACGATATCGTCGTCCAGGTGTATGATGTCGATCTTGCCACTCGCCACCGGCACCTCATGCCTGTGCACCATGTTTGCCAGTAGATCATTATGCTTCAGCACGTAGTCGGGGGACACGCGTTGGTTGTTTATCGTAAGCGATCCCTTTTCGATGTGCTGTTCGTATTCGTCGGACGAGTGGGCGCGGAACTCCTCGCCAAACACGTCCATCAAGGTCCTGCCCACCCATCGTCCTTTGGTGTAGGTGGTGAACGTAAAGTAATAAGGATATACCTTCCTCAGACCGTTTTCGATGTAATACGACGTTTCGTCGAATCTCTCGGCCGAGTAACCAGGGCGCTTTGGAACCTTTTCCAGTTTGACTTTCTTAGGCGGCTTTTTCGAGTGCTTGGACTGAAGGTAGAGTTTGCGTTTGTGTTTGCTTACCTGCAATACGTCTGAGTTTTTTTGACGCTCTTCTTCGTCCATGGACCAACATTCGTCAGTTTTGGAGTCGGTCGTTTCTGAACCATTTACTGCGGAACACTGTACACCGATGTCGGATTTATCTCGAATAAGTGAAATCGAATGTTGTAATATATTATTTTCCATATTTATCAGCGGAACAACGAACAATTTCTTTGAGAACAAATGTATAAATCGCTGAATCCCCAACCCAGTTCGACGCACCATACGGCAAACAATTCTGTGAACAAATTATAAAATTAATATTACATATTATAACACATCAACATTAAATATCATCCAAAAGTATAAACAAGATCCCGCGCCAAAGTCGTGGGCCGAGCTAAGTAAAAATAAAAATAATAATAACTGCACGACGGTGTGTGTATATATTATTATCGAAGCAGGAGTTACCTATTTAAACTGTGTAAAATACAGGTAAACTCCAAAACATCAGAAATATTGTGTAGAACGTACTTTTGTAAAAATCATCAAAATCGAACTTTTAAAAATTAATTTATAAATGAAAAAGTGCGAACTTTTTAATGGAAATTTATATTAAATTCAGAATCACGGTAGCCGTCGTGCCAATGTTACTTAATAATACTCCTTCGCCATTTAATTATTTTGTTCATCACACTTTGTTTCTTTTAAGAAATAATTCCTCGTCAAGTAAATAAATTATTGAAACAAAATAAGTTTACTTAAATTCAATATACTTAGTATTTATTCGTGATATCACATATTTTAAGTACCTAAAGATCTTATATTTTTTTTACTTGTCAATTTTTACACGTAGTTTACGTAGGGTTTTTGTTGTGATAATATTATACCACGCACTAAAATATATTAATGTACCTAATGTTATTATAATGATTATTTTTTCTAAGTTTGTAGAATAGTTTTTTTTTATTGCTGAAATTGTCGGAGACATTGCATTGTTCTTTATACATTTGTTTTATGATATAATGAAATTATAAGCATCTATAAAGTGGAATCCCGTTAATGTTATTAAGATCCTATCTATATTGTACGAATGAATAAAAATCAGTACGCGTTCTTGCACCACGACAATCATTATTTCGTATCAAAGTCCGACTACAAGTACCTACTTAAGCTAACCTTAGTACATTTTTAAATTTATTCATTTCAAATAGTAGTTTTATTAATCTTATTAATAAATATATAATATATTAATATATCTGAGTTAGGTTAGGTTAAGCAATTATTATTCATTTTCAAATATTTAATATTTTAACATTTTCATGCTTAGAGCAATCAGTCTAAAACCATACGTGTAATAAAAAAATAATTTTGTAAAATAATTTTTTTTTATGGATTTATGCTTTTTACATTCAACTGTTATTTAAAAATATTTTTATTATTATTCTAAGTATTGGAAATAGTAGTAGTAAAGGAAGTAGTAGTATGACGGTATGCAAGTTTGATCTATTTATGTCTGAAATCTGGATGGTTAAACATAGTAAAATGTTAAGTACTAATTTTCATAATAATCCAAAATAATTATATAAATTTTATATGATTTAATATATAACTATATAAGTTTTAGACTTTAGGAAGTATGGTTATTTTAATAAACAAAGATTAAATAAGTTTGGGATGTAATCAATAACCAGAGCCATAGCCCGTAGAAAGGGCTTGGCAAGACTGGACCTGGCAAGGGGTGCAACACGAATAGGAGCGCAAAAATCAGAAGAAAATATACCTATGTCATTAGAAATAACATAGGTATATTTTCTTATATTTTATTGATTTACAAATTGCAATGAATATAATATTGGTATATAATGAATACATGTTTTAGAATATTTATAATTCAAAAAACTTCCTACCAAGAATTGACTCACGCCCCATCAGTGGGTTCCGACCCACAGTTTTAGAAACTTAATATATTACAATTTACAAGTGTTTACGAAATAATATAACATTATTATATTATGCTGAGTGATAATAAGATATATTATTAAGAGCTTAAATATTAGGAGCATATTAAAGTTAAATGTCAAAGTTAATGTCTTATTTAAAGACTTCCATCAATAAATTAATATGCTAGATACTCGTATTTCAAATTTAGTCATTTTATATAAGTCTATGAAAGGAAACACTTTTATAAATTCTGCGGAGAGTTGTTTATTATTATAATCATACAAAAATTAAATTAATTTACTTAATTCTAGTTCATATATTAATAAAAGTTTTAAGTTTGTAACCTAGGATTTAATACAAAATAATTATTTATTTAATATGAAGATAGGATAAAATAAGTTAAGCATTTGTTGTTTTTCATTGATCAGATTTGAATTTAAATAATGTAAAACATTTAGTTTGTTGACGCATTGAAAAAAACATTAAATACAAATCATATATCTACATCTTATTTGGAGTTAAGTAAAAAGAAATAATATTAGTCTAAATTATCTTCACACTAAGTTACTATATTAATTTATTTTGTTTTTTATTTATTTTAAATCGACTTGTTTAATCATCAAAGGTCAGATATTTTTCAGTAGAATAATAATATGGACAACTGGTTAAACAACAATATGATATTTTCAAAAATAATAAATGTAAATTTATTTCTTATTTTAATTTATTGTATTTGTTGTATTTGTTAAAAATAAAAAAATCAATCATGTAAAGTAGAGTTTAATTAAAGTAAAAATTGTATTTATTTAGGTACCTATATGAGTATAAAATTAAAATGCAACATTTTTGTCACACACAGGATAATAAAAAATTGTACCATCTATAGAAATTACTTCCACATTTTTATTGTAATGAGTAATCAAAAAACTTCACTTTTTTAATTGATATGACATTAAGAGTAACACTGTGAATATTAAAAATGTACTGTTCACCAATAACGTATGGTCTACTGTAAAAATAATAAAAGTTTAGAATATTATTATCTACAATAAAACTTTTAAAAATATAAATAACTTATATTCCTATACAACACAATTTATATTTTTTGAAATACAAAACACCCAGCAGATAAACCATAAGGTATACAGGTAGACTTTATGTTACACCTCAATCTAATCAAACATAAAATTAAATATAATAGGCCACACACTAAAATATTGATAAATTCGTAGATCATATACTAAAACGAAATTGTTACAATACCTAAATGAATGCCAATTGTTATTAAATTCGGTGACTATTCAAGTGGCGCAACTAGGGCTAAAATATTGGGGGGGGGGCTGTAGCCCCTACCTGATATTAAATGAAAAGTAACCCGTGACGGAGATGCCCCCATACCACAATATATATTCACATAAAAATATAAAAAAATCATACAAAAAAAAGGTGCTCTGCTGTACAGTAGGTTACAAGTGGGTCACTGTATAGTGGATGGTATTAAATTTGAATTCAATGATATAATATCATTGTATAAGAAAAACGATTCTGAGTGGAGACGATACGTCAGTCTAGGTATAAGACATATGATATACTAATCTAAGGTATTACAAAAAATTGACCTATAATAGGTAGGCACCTATAATAAATTCCAAATTAATCATAGCACAATATCCATTAGATACTTATAACGCGTTATACATCAACAACAAACCCTGATACTATCATAGATGTATAATAGTGTACTTTAGAAGTTTCAAGTACCCACAAATGATATTATACAACAAAATAACTAAAATAGTTATTCTAGGTTTTTTATTCTGTAATTTCATCCAAATTTGAAATTAAAATGATTATAAAAATAAACTGTGATTATGTATTTTTTAGATTTTTTGGTAACAGAATTAACTACTTCCCTTGGAATCTTGTTTTAAATTTTCCATCCTTAGATATAAAAGTTGAACATTTTATAAATTTTTAACTACAAAATAATTATTCAATTTTAAATTTTGTCAAAATTCGATCTTTAAATGCTTATAAAAAAAAATTGTGCCTATGTATTTTAAATATTTTTCAACTGATATTGTAACAATATATCAGGAGCCTTGTATTAAATTTTTATACTTTTTGGCCCAACAGATAAAACTTTATTGATATGATATTTATAGAAAAAAAACTAATAAAATTGAAGACTGAAAATGTCAGTAAACAGCTCAAAAAGAGTCAAAATATTTTCAAAATTGTATGGTGTATAGAAAATGCTAATATAAACATTCAGTGAAATTTTCATGTATCTACAGTTATTCGTTATTGAATTACAACAAAATAAGGAAATCGCTACACGAGAAATCGAGTGAATATCCAATGTTGAAAAAATTTGAATTTCAAACGATAATAAAAATTTAATTTGACCTTCTTATAGACATTTTTTTTTTTGATAAAGATAGACAAACTTATGAGTTATCTTGTATTACATTTTAAAATCTTAGATTTAAAAAGAAAAATTTTTACGAATTCTTAACTCAAAATAATTTGCTAATTTTCATGATTTTTCCATATTTTGTCAATTTTTGAACTTTAAATGCTTATAAAAAAAAACTGTGACTAAGGATTTTTAATAGTTTTCATTTGCCTTTGAAACAATATACTAGGAGCCTTCTATTAAATTATAAAGCTTTTTTATCCAACGAATAAAATTGTATTGATATTTTTAGAAAAAAAACTAAAAAATATGGAAAATGAAAATGTCCCTAAACAGTTCAAAATAAATTAAAATATTTTGAAAATGTTATCGTGTATAGAAAAGTCATATATAAACAACCAGTGAAAATTTAATGTATATACGTTCATTTGTTTTAGAGTTACATCAAAAACCAAAATCAATTTTTTGGAAAACAGATTTTGCGTAAAAATTCCCGTTTTTCCTTAATTTTTATGTGGTTTTCCCCGGTATTTGTGAAAACTATTGGGAATTTTAAATTTTGACCCCTCCAATGCACCAACGATATTCACTTTCCTATCAGAAAAGATACTGTTGAAGAAATTTGAAGCATTATTTCGACTACTTATTGTGTACACACACAAAAATAAAAAAATAAAAAACACACATCATTGTAAAATCAATACATTCATCGTTTCACTCAGAATCTAAAATATTTATTTACTCAAATTTCATTTTACCAATAATAGTATTCTATATCTGTGGTAATCAAAATAATAATCCCCCGACTAAAATATTAGTTTATATTACTCACAAACATATG